CCTATTCAGAACCCCAGATATACAAGCAGCTCCCTGACTCAAGGACATATACTCTGAAAGGTGCATACATACTTCCTTACATTATGAAAAGCCAGATGAATACGGTAGGTAACTGGCTTCCACCAGCTGTATGTTTCTTATGATTCTCTCATATACTCTCCTAAATGATATGAGGACTTACAAACTGATCCAAAAGTAAGATAGAAGCTAAGCAAATAAAATGGAAAGGAAGAAAATACTTAAGCCAGGAAAACATCAAAGTACACCATTGCAAATAAGTATAAAGCTGTTCCATGTTGCCTTCCAGCTGTGTAGAAAGGGGGACACAGGCTGCATCCCTGCCACTGCCCCACAGTGGGAAGGATTCTGGTCCCCAGCAAGAATATTCCTCAGGACTGAGGGAAGTGAGTCATTCGGTTCTTTACACAAGACTGTGGACATTGTACAGCCTAGAGCTGGATGGGGGGAAAGGCTTTCAACAATACACTTGGTGGTTATTTTTCTAATTTACATAATTTTAATAGAAAATAAAACCAGCTAGATGCCATGGCTCATGCCTGTAATTCCAGCATTTTGGGAGGCCAAAGCAGGAGGATTGCTTGAGTCCAGAAGTTCAAGACCAGCTTGGGCAACATAGTAAGACCCTGTCTTTACAAAAAAATAAAGAAACTAGCTGGGCATGGTGGTGCATGCCTGTGGTCTCAGCTACTTGGGAGGCTGAGGTGGGAGGACTGCTTGAGTCCAGGAAGTTGAGGCTGCACTGTGCTATGATATCACACCACTGTATTCCAACGTGGGTGACAGAGTGAGACCCTGTCTCAAAAAAAATTAAATAAAATCAACAGAAGCTATTATTTTTAAAGAGAGGAGGGGTATAAGACTCTAAGGCAAAAGTTTTAAATTATATCACTTGAGTCACCCAGAAATTACATTAGTTTGCTACTAATTGGAGGAGTCTATAATTGTTTACCTGGTGACAATATGTCACTTATCTATGATTTCAAGTTTTCATTCTTAAAAATGTGATACTACCCTTCTGGTTCCTAGTTGCTGCCACCTACAATGAGAAGATACCCTAAAAAGCAAGGATAAGAGAGGACTGTGTCTCCTATTTAAAGTGACCATACTAACTACTATACCACAGGAAGACTATTCTTGGCTTCTAGTCTATTTTGGTCAGCTGGTTATAGCATGGGATTTGTGAGGCCAATGAGGCTCAAGTCTCCTTTGGGTCTAATGGATTTATTCAGAGATTGTTTTTTTAGTTGTGCCCTCCACAGTCAACAATCTTGTAGCTTTCATTGTTTGCCCTAAGAGAGATCAGGCAAAAGAATGCATGAACTGTCACTGCTATTATTATGACTAATACTATGGATTTCCTCTGAAGCACTAGGGACCATGTGAAGCCATTTTCCCACAATGACACATTTCACAATCATCTTGTGCAGTGGCTGCCATCGTCACCTGACAGGCTAGGGAAATGAAACTGAATCTGGAAAAGAACACTAAACACATGAAGTCAACCTCAATGTGAAGGTAATATCTCAAGAGGAAGAAATGCCCTATGGAGGGAAAACATATTCAAATCATTAGCAAGTTTTCTGAACATAATCTAGGAAAACTACCGGTCAGAAACAAAATCATTGAGTGGTGTTAAATACAAGCTTGCCCAACTCTTGGCTCTACTTGCAATTCTTCCCTAAACTCATCTCCACCCACAGACAGGCTGAGGGATGCTCAGCAAGTGCATGTGTTTCTAAAGTGGATAGTCTGTTTCATTCTACAGCTATTTGGTAGGGAGTCATTGCCTCTACTTTGGATGTCATCATAGCTCCCAGTACCGAGGAAGTTAATGTGTAACCAGTTCTGCTTACCATCTTTTTCAAAATCTGTGACACTTCCAGGTAGAACTTGAAGAGGAAGCTGATGATGAGAGTCCTCTTGAACTCCACCTTTCCACCTGGCGCCGAGCCCGAAAGGGAGACTTCCTCCAGAACAAGCCTGCAAGCTGTATCCAGCATTTCTTCATTCCAGTGCCTGGAAAGTCCAAAGAGAAAAATCCTAGCCTGACAGGGTTTATTACCCCGTATCTTCACCTAATGGGTAAGACAAATAGCCACAGTTTAATACAGGAAATAAGAGTACAAGCTCTAGATCAGGCAGCCCGAGTTCAAATTGGCCCACCACTCTCAAGGTGTCTAGCCTGGGTCTCATCATGTCCTCACCTGTTAAAGGGGAACATTAGTAGAACCCAACTCACACAATGATCCAGAGAAATAAATGACAACTCATATAAAATTCATAGTCCAGGAGTAACTGACCCTCATATCACTAGGACATTCATTGCATGCCAAGTTCTGCTTTTAGCACCCTATATGTATTCACTCACTTAATCCTCTCAACTGCCCTATGAGGTAGGTATGATCACCCATCTTTGACA